TGGAGTAGGCTGAAGCAAGGGGAGTTTAGGGTGACCTGAGCATGCTTCCATGAACTCTCTGGAGAGAGTAGTCAGGCCACGGGGGTTAATGCTCAGGTCAACGCCAGTTGGTTGCTGGGCAGAACTCTTCACAGAACGACTTCTGAGGGGCTGGCCGTGGCTCAGTGGTGAAGTACTTGCCTGGAGTGCACGGGCCCTGGGTTCAGTCTCAGTACTGCAAAAATTTTAAAAAGCATGGCTGAGGCAGGAGGGTGGCCGGTTAGAGGCTACCTGAGTACCTCAGCAAGACTGTCTAAAAAATAAATAGGACTGAGGGCTGGGCTGGACACATGGCTCAGTGGTAGAGGGATTCCCTGGCCGGCGCAAGACCCCACGTTCAGTCCCCAGCACTGCGAAGGGAAGGGCTGAGGGTGTAGCCCAGTTGCTAGAGCACTTGCACAGGSTGTGTGAGGTCTGCAAAAGTCCCCCGCATTGTACAAGGGCGCAGTGCTCTGGGACCACCACCCTCCTCCTGGCTCTGTCTTGCTGGGTTGGCAGAGGTGACTGCATTCTGACTCCGAGGTTTGACAGGTACGCAGCCGCTGACTGTACCTGTGTGATGCGGGCCACGGGAAGGCAGGCTTCTGTCTAGTCGCTGTTTTACCCACGTGTTTGGGCAGAGCCTGGCCCAGGGCAGGACCCTGCATATGCCTGGGGAACCAGAATGCTGAGCCSTAGGTGCTGGGACTGCACGTCCTTTGCTCCGCATCTTGCCCTCCCCACAGCCCCTGTTGCTCACGTCACAGGTGACGGCTGGCTACCCAGGCCAAGCTGCGTTTCACTGCCCGTCCTGCATGTGGACCGCCCAACAGTCTGTGTTAGGTCTTCTTTCTTGGCTTTCCCTCTCCACCCCTCACCTGCCACCATCCCAGAGGCCACTGGGGCTTCTGCAAGGGGATGGAAGGGGACCTTCCTACTGGCTCCACTCTGGGCCTCTGCATGACCAGGAAGAATAGGATTGAGGACCACAGGCTCAGTGGCCACTGGAGGGCTTCACCCCAGGCAACATGAATTTTTTTTTTTGTTTGGTTTGGTTTTGATACCAGGGATTATTCCTAAAGGCACTCAACCACTGAGCCACATCCTCAGCCTTTTTAATTTTTTGTTTTTTGAGACAGGGTCCTACTAAGTTCCTGAGGCTGGCTTTGAACTTGTGATCCTCCTGCCTCAGCCTCTGAGTTTCTGGGGTTATAGGCATCGGCATTGCACACCTAGCTTTAGTGTTTTCTTTAACAGGAAGAATAGGTGTTCATTTCTCCGGTTTTTATTGGGGCACTACAGTTGTACATAATGGTGGATTTGTTACGTGTTTGTACGCGCACACAGTAGGGTATAACAGTGTAACTATTATTTGGCCAACACCACTCCTCCCTCCCCACCTCCCTCCCCTGTTCCCTCTCCTCTACTGATCTCCACTCCCACCTTTCTTTCAGTTTTCCTCTCTAGCTTCCAAATATGACCCTTGGCCTTGTGAGTTTGGCTTATTTTGCTTAACATGATGGTCTCTTGTTCTCTCCATTTTCCTGCAAATGACAATTTTATTTTTCTTTATGATTGAATTAAACTCCATTGTGTATATATGCTGCATTTTCTTTATCCATTTATCCACGGATGGACACCTAGGCTGGGTCCATAACTTGGCTGTTGTGAATTGTGCTGCTGTAAACATGGGTACGTAGGTATTGCTGTAGTGGGACAGCTTAGTTCTTCAGGTAAGTACTGAGAAGTGGCATGGGGGGTCATATTGTGGTTCCACGCCTCCTCTGGAGGCATGCTGGTTTCCACAGTGGTGGTACTGATTCACGATCTCACCGCAGTGTGAAAGTGCTCCTTTTTCTCCACATGCTCCCCAGCACTCATTATTGTTTGTATTCTAGATGACAGTCATTCTAACTGTGGTGAGATGAAATCTCAGTGTAATTTTGATCTGCATTTCCCTAATTGCTAATGATCTTCAACGTTGTTTTTATATATTTGTTGGCCATTTGTATTTCTTACAAAAAGTATCCGTTTAGTTCTTTTGCCCATTTATTAATTGGGTTTATGGTGCTTATTTCAGTGTTAAGGTTTTTGAGCTCTTTATATATTCTAGATACTAATCCTCTGGCAGAAGAGTAGTTAGCAGGGGTGGGGCTGTGGCTCAGAGGCAGAGTGCTCACCTACCATGCGTGAGGCACTGGGTTTGATCCTTAGCACCATATAAAGATAAAATAACGACATTGTGTCCACCTATAAATAAAAAATATTTTAAAAAAAGAATAGGTAGCAAAGATTTTCTCCCATTCTGTAGGTTTTCTCTTCACATTTCTAATTGTTCCTTTGCTGTACAGAAGCTTTTTAATTTGATGCCATCCCATTTATGAAGGCTTGGCATAATTTCCTGAATTTTAGGGGTCCTACTGTGCCTATATGCTGGAGGGTTGACCCTGTGTTTCCTTCTCAGTCGCATGGTTCTGATCTAATTCCTAGGTCTGCATTGGCTTCTGTGCAGGGTGAGATAAGGGTCTGGTGTTGTTCTTCCAATATGGAAACCCACCTTTCCCAGCACCATTTGTTAAAAGGCTGCCTTTTCTCCAGTGTAGGTTTCTGGCACCTTTGTGAAGGACTAGATGGCTACGTCTGTGTGAGGCTCTCTTCTGTACCACTGGTCTAGCCACATCAATTTCTGATGTCACCCTTAGGCTGCGGCTGCGGGACAGCAACCTGACTCCTGGGAGCAGATGCTAGTGGGGATGTCTTCAGAGCTCAGAGGACCTGCTGGGCCCTTGCCTGATAGCACTGCCACACTTAAGATGAAGCTCAGAGCTTCTCCAGCCCTCCCTCCCTGGCAGGACAAAAAGGAAAGGTTTATGTTGATTTCCCACCAGTCGGTGTTAACAGGAGGTAACCACATGCCCAGTCTCAGAAGCAGCATGAGATTGCTGTGGCCTGTTAGGAAGTTACAAAGAACCTCCAGGCTGGGGTGTAGCTCTGGCCCAGCTTGAACTAGGCCCTGGCTGCATCCCCAGCACCACACACCTGCAAATTGAGACAAAGCAGTAAGTCCAGCTTGGGGCCCTTCTGAGAGGCTGCATGCTTGCCCCTGGCCTCACCCACGACCGTGGCCGGGAACATCGAGCCTTTCCTCTGGAGCACTGGGTCTTATTTGGAAGAAGCCCCTTCTGAGGTCCTCTTGTCCACAGCCCTGGCGCAGAAGGGACACCCCACCTATTTTCCCAGGCCCAGACATTCTCCATTGCCTCAGAGCTGGGGAATACTGGGAGGTGAGACCAGAGGGCCGAGCCTTGAGACCGGGTTACTCTTTCCCTCCTAGAGGGCACCGCATTGCGTGTCCAGGCGTGGGGACCACTCCACTTCTGCAGCTCAGCCCACTCAAGCTTGGCAGGCTGCTGCTCCACCAGGTGTGGGTCAGAATCAGAGGTGAAACCGCCTTGGCCCCTGCCAAGCTGTGACTGCCGGCCAGCGTCCCATGCTACAGGCTGCACAGCGTGAACCAGTGTGTGAGTAGGCCCCGGCCTCTTGGCCTCTCTGAAGATAGAGCTGACTCCTCTACCCACCTGACCTGTCCCTTTCCTCCCAGGGCCACCACAGGGTGCCAAGCTCCTTGCCCAGTACCCTGCGAGAAGGGTCAGGTCCTGCAAGGAACAGTGCCCTTTAGGGCAGTGTGGTTGCACAGGTGACGACACTGATGGCCTGTCCAGCCTGGTGGCAGCTGCCACACTCCATCTACCCTCCCTGGAAGATGCGAAGTGTTGGGGACAGGGTGCCTTGGGTCACTGAGCCCTGACCCAGGGACTGCTGCCTGGGGAGGGGCTGCCCCCCTCATTCTTCCCCTTCTGAGTTTGTGTTCTTCCTGGGCACTTGGGAGCAATGGGCACTCATGGAGGGCCTTCCTTTGACCCTGTCCTCAGGAAACAGGCCAATGACGTGCAGCAGGGCAGCTCCCATCAGCACCTCCTGCATCGTCGCCAAGCGCCTCCCTTCTGCCCCAGGACTGGGGCTGAACCCAGGGGTGCATTGCCACTGAGCCTCATCCCCAGCCCCCTGCTCTTTGGTTCTGTTAGTTTAACTGACAGCAGAGTCCACCTTGATAAGGTCAGACCTGCATGGAGTGCATCTGTTCTAACCGGGGCCCAGCCCTTCTTATGTCTCACTCTGAGACCAGGTCTCGCCACGTTGCCAGGAAGCAGGGGTGGAGCACCTGCAGCCACTGTGGTTCTGTCCCCTTGCTACAGGACCGCCTGGGTGCGCGAGGTGACTTGTCCGACAGATCCCTGTTGGCAAAGTGGCAGCTGGGCTTAGGCCCTGCAGGACACAGGCCTTCTCTGCTCCTATGGACATGTCCCCAGGGCGGTGCAGCAGGGCTGCCGGTCAGACAGGTTCCATGGCTTGCTGCACTTCTGACCCCAGATTCCCCGAGGCCACAGAGGTAAGCACGGGGCCAGCAGGTCACATGACAAGATGTTTTTGAGGGATCTGCCAGCCGGTGATGGTGACTTGTGCTGGCCTGGGTGGCCTCAGTAAAATGGGCTTCCTTTTTTTAGGACTTGCCAAGGACACCCTGGGCCCAAATGTTCCCTCTGTCACCTGGGGACAGATCTCTGGCCTCACTGCTGGGAAGCCCCTTCTGAGGTCCTCTTGTCCACAGCCCTGGGGCAGAAGGAACGCCCCACCTATTTCCCCAGGCCTAGACATTCTCCATTGCCTCAGAGCTGGGGAATACTGGGAGRTGAGGTGACATGGGGACATGAGATGATGTGGGGACATGAGGCAACATAGGGACCCAAGGGTGGTAATGGGAAAATGAGGTGAGGGGTTGTACAGGTGATGGGGGAACAGGAAGGGTGCTGCCCTGAGAAGTGGGGTGGCACCAGGGACCTCTTGAGTGTAGCTGCCTCCCTTCATGGCTCCTGGACACTCCTCCCACCCTGGGCCTCAGAAGGACACAGGAGCTGGTTCCAAATACCCCTTTTATTAAAGGTCATGGCACTTCAGAGCAAGCRTCCCAAGTCCTGGGCTCTGCAGCACCCGGGCTCGTCCCTTCTCAAGTCACAGCTGCAGTCACAGCAGGGTGGCCGACCTTGGTGCAGGCACACGTGCCATCCAGAGCACCCTTCCTGACCCTGACATCACGGACAGTCAGCTGGGGGCAGTGGATGCAGCTGCACATGGTGACAAGTGTCACGGTGTTCCTGACACGGTGGCCCTCAAGGGCACTGCAACCACAGGATCCGGGAAAAAACCCAGATGTGTGGGGAGGTAGTGCAGACCCTGAGCGCCGCCGGGGGTTCAGCACTGCCCACGTGGCCGGTGGGGCCCACAGCAGTGCCTGGCAGGGCAACCACCTCCGTGGAGAAGCCAGGCCACTGTTAAGACCAGCTGATGCGGAACTGCTCCGCCATGGCCAGCCACACAGGGACAGCCAGGGTCTGGAGGAGAAAAAGAGGAAATGTGAGTGCCACACAGCTCCCAGCAGAGGGGCCTGGGTGCCCAAGGGCGCGAGGGACGGGGCCGCCCCTCCCCTCCCCACCAAGGCATCAGCACCTCATGCCCTTGGAAACAGGTTCTGTGATCCCACTGCCCTCCAGGAGCAGACGGGAGCAGCAGAGGCCGGCTCCTCCCCTGAGAAGCTCCTCTTCACCTGAGCCCTGGCACCCTCTGCTCCCTCCCAACAGCACCTCCATGGTGCAAGCTGGGTGGCACTGGGTCACCGGGATCCTCACGGCCCTACTCCCATCCCACCCAAGACAAGAGCCCCACTCCCAACTCGCCCTCTTGCCTTGGTGTCGGGGCTGTAGGTGAAGTTGGAGACAGGGACCCCATTGGAGAGGACCTGCTGGGGGGCTGGGTCCACTCCCAGGATGGCCACTGTCCTCAGCTGCAGGCTGGCCCCCTCCCTGGCCACATGCACCAATTCATTCACAACGGTGTTCTGGCCAGTGCAGATGGGGACAGTGCAGAGGTATCAGCAGACAGAAGGGGGAACCGCCAGAGCAGAGACTCCATGGCACCTCCCCCCGACCAGGGCAAGCCCCCCTCGACAACCCTGCCCACTGCCCAGGACTCACGTTCCTGGCCAGGAAGGTGAGCTGAGTGTAGGCCCCGCGCTCCAGCGTGTCCAGGCTCTCCCCGTCATCCCAGAACAGCTCCCCATGGGCCTCGCCACCAGCAGTCAGGGCCACAGCCAGGGCCATGGGCTGCTGGCGGGACTCTGTGGTCGTGAGGGCAGGACCCTGGGAGGGGGTGGACACACGTCACAGCCCCAGTCTGGTGGCCTCCACCACAGGGGGACACTGAGTCTTGGCTATGGGGAAGTGGGAACAAGGGACAGACTGGGCTGGACACCCATGGTGACCACCCTGTCCAAGGCCAGGCAGATGAACCCCAGTCTGTCCCCCCTCAAGTGCCACCAGGGACTGAGACCTGACAGGGCCTCTGACAGAGTGCCTGAGGGACAGCTGGCCACGCTGTGCCCCTCACCAGTTCCCTAGTCACCATCCACCTGGGGGGACAGGCCCTTCTGACGGCCCCACCCCCACAGCATGGTGTTCAGGCCTCCTCTCAGCTGCCTGGCCAGTACCTGCATGGGCACGATGTACCCAGCCCGCAGGTGGACGTTGATGGTGTCCAGTGGAGCTGGCAGTGTCACCCACTGCCCCTCACTGTGGATGGCAGGGCAGGGAGGTGCTGCAGGTAGAGGGGGGAGGCTGCCGAGGGCCTCTACTGGCACCTGGAGGGAGTTGTTGTGTCAGAAGTGTCCCAGGATGCCAAGGTCCCCAGGCTGGCACCGGGAGCTGTTGTCCTATCTCCCAAGGGTGACATGGGGGCCTAGTACAGACAGCTGGCTATGACCTTGGGCAGACTTGGGGCTCTCCGTCGGGATCCAGATGCCTGGTGGGACAGAGCCTGAAAGGCCTGGACCCAGGGTCTGGGTTGAGGGACAGGTCAGGGGACCCCAGGTCAGCAGGGGCTTTGTGGTGGCTGAGGGACCCCAGCAGGTCATCCACAGAGGCCTGTTTCCTCCCTGGAGACGGGGTGACTGTGAAGAGCTGGGGGCCCGAGTGTGGAGCACCCAGGTGAGGCCCACAGCAGCCAGGACTCCAGGAGCAGTGCCTCTTTCCAGCACCTGCCACAGGGACAGGCGGGTTGCAGGGTCGCTGGGACTCACCAGCTGCAGGTCGTACCAGGTGCCCGAGGGGAAGTAGCCGGTCACTTGGTCCTTCCCAGGCTCGAGCACGGGCGTGACCAGAAGAGCCTCTCCCCACAGGAGCTGGCGGTCCACGCCCCAGGTGTGCCGGTCCTCAGGGAACCTTCAAAGAGGGACGGGCATGTGGGCTGGTACAGGAGTGGGCAGAGAGACCCTTCTATGGACAGGTATTCACCCACGGGGGCTCAGAAGGTGGAGCCAGAATTCCCATCTCTGGGAGGCCCACGGAGCCAAAGCACCGGGGATCCCTGGAGCAGGGCTGATTCCAGCCACAGGTGAAAAATGACCCATGCCCACCCACATTYCGGGGGCCAGGGCCCAGTGCAGGAGTCGGCTTCCCTGAGGCCTCGGGAGGCCCCTGACTTGACTTTGCTCACTTATTTTCTGATTATCAAAGTAGTGACACCATCTGTCCAACTCAGACACTTGGAAAAGTACCAAACCGTATCCTCAACCAGGAAAAGTCCTCCACAACCCCACGACCAAAGGCAGTGGTCGCTGACATCTGGCACGATCCCTGCCCGTCTTCTGATGACTTCACTGAGATCGTCTTGATGTCACCTGGTCCGTGCCCTTCGCCGCCTACTGACGGGGTCCAGGGCTGGGCAGGCACAGCACATGGAGGGAGCACCAGGTCAGATGACCTCTTCAGTACAGGTTTCTCTTTGTAAAGCCAAAACGCATCACGTAGAATGGCGGACATCACCAGTCGCACAAACATGTCCACTGATCGCCCCGCGGGAAAYGCGTTTGAAGATGACCGTCCCACCACCTCCTTGCCACCCTGGCTCTTTTCTTGGAGGCATGAGTTTCTCAGGCCAGTGTCTGTTTCAGAACACAGCTCCTGGGGTGCCATGGATGGCGGTGGAGGAGTGAGGGCCTCCCTCGACCTCCTGCTCCGCACAACCAACAAGAACACAGCAGACAAGGCCCGTCAGCACTCTCGGGACTCTGGAGAAGAGCCAGAGCTCGCAGTGGCCTGGGCAGGGATCACACACTACTGGCCAGCCCTGGCAGGAGCAGGAACTCAGCCTGGCCAGCGTGGAAGGTGTGCCTGACACAGAGTCACGTGGCAGAGGCCAGGAGACCCGCTGTCCCTATCAGGGTAGCTGAGCAGACTTCCGTGGCCACACACCACAGAGACCACAGATCACAGATCAACTCAGGGGAGGCATGACACAGCACAGTGACAGTGGCCAAGGGCAACTCAGCCTGGGGGAGGGACACGGAATCTGATTCCAGAGCTGAGTGTTGAAAATGTCCAGTGAGAAAGGAAAGCGTACCAGACGTGCCAGGAAACGCGGAGGGTGGCCCAGGGAAGGCAGGGGTCCCCAGGGAAGCCCAGCTTTGGACTTACAAACCCTAAGTCACCAATCTTGAGAMCAGGGAGTGTAAGGGCGAGACTTGCCCTGCAGGGCGCCCACGAAGACAGAGAGGTTAAGAATGGAGCACTCTGGGAGGGCCACAGGGGACTGGAGCAAGCCAAGGAGAGGGAAGTGGAGCTGGGTCTGTGGAGACTGTCTGTGGGGAACAGGGAGAAGACAGACGAAGGCGGCAGACAGTAGCGTGCATCCAGGYGTAGGGAGTCCCAGGAGCAGGAGAGAGGGCAGGAAACGTGCCTCAGCTTACCCAAGTCTGAAAAGAATTCTGCAGTGTTGGAGATGACACCAGGACCTCACCTCATGCCTGGCTAGTGTGCTACCGTGAGCTCACCCCAGCCCAAGGAGAAACATGACACATCCAAGCAGCTCAACAACTCCACGCGGGATACATGCAAAGACACCTACACCTGATACACCATGACCAGCCTGTGGAAGCCAAAGACGGGAACCTGAGAGAAGCTCAAGAGGCAGTTTGGCCCCAAGGCTGCGTGACCTGCTGGGAGCTCTGGGGGAAAACAAGGGCCCTTGAGGGCTCTGACTGAGCAAGACCGCCCTTCCAGACCAACAGTGGCCCGCATTCACCAGTGGCAACCTGCMGAGCAAGACGGGTCCTCTGATCCATTGGAGGACATCAGTAACCAGCACACAGGAAGAAACAAACACGGGGCGAGGCTCAGGCCACCGCAGAGGCACAGAAGCCAGTGGTACTGCCACGCTGTCTCCCGACTGCCTTGGAAGACAACTGCACCATGCTTCCTGATGTCTGCACCAGGCTGTCAGCAGGCGCAYGACGTGGGGAGGCAGGCTCGGTGGGACAGGCACAGCAGGGCAGGGTGCAACCCCATTTTACACCCTTGGATGGTATGTGGCATAAGCTCCAAGACGTGAACTACAGTCCTCAGGGAAACCACCAAAAAATCTAACAAAATATAATACAGGAAATAATTCAAGTCACATCGCTGCTGAGAGAGCCACTGCCATGCGCGTCCCTGCTCTGTTAACCCAGCTCCTGTTTGGTGCCTGCCTTCTTTCTTTTTGGTACTGGGAATTGAATCCAGGGGTCCTTAACCACCGAGCAACAGTTTTGAGACAGGGTCTTGCTAAGTTGGTGATGCTGGCCTCAACCTTGTCATCCTCCTGCCTCAGCCTCCCAGGTCACTGGGATCACAGGTGTGTACACTGTGCCTGGCCTGGTGCTGGCGATGGAACCCAAGGCCTGGCACAGGCTAGGCAAGTGCTCTGCCACTGAGCCCTGCCCAAGCCCTCTATTTGGTTAATACTAGTCTTGCCAGTAGAAAATGCATYATTATTATTATTATTATTTTTGCAGGAGGGCCAACTGGGATTGAATTCAGGGCACTGGACCACTGAGCCACATCCATAACCCTATTTTGGTCTTACTTAGAGACAGGGTCTCACTGAGTTGCTTAGTGCCTTGCTTTTGCTGAGGCTGGTGATCCTCCTGTCTCAGCCTCCTGAGCCGCTGGGATTATAGTCGTGCACCACCATGCCCAGCAGATTATGCATTCTTCATGCATCAGGAACAGGGACTGTCATGTTATTGACAGTGTCTCTCCTCTATCTGCCATTACAATTGATGTATAGAGCAGTTTTTAATTTTTTGCTTATATTCAGAGACTTTTCCTGTTCCCATTCAGCAAAGCTTTCCTTTCTCTCTGAATTCGACCTCCTCCCCTTTCTTTGTGCTTATGCTTGGGAAGTGCTCCCTTGCCAGGGCCCTGGTTGCCATCACGGAGTTCCGTAAACTTTCCCTCAGCGTCACCCCTGACRGTCCACTGTGGAGTCCACCTGGGCTGGTGCAGGTGGAGGGAGACACCCGACATCTGCAGAGAGTGACCAACGACTCCCTTCCTTGGCTCCTGATGGAGGGTGCCATTTTATAAGGTGACTCCTTGTATGCACTAAGTCCTGCCGGGGACAGCTGGGTCTCTAGCTGTCCTCCTCAAGCCAGCCCCAGATGGACCAATGATGCCCATCTTGTTCCTTGCTGTGCCATCAGGCTGGCCTGGTTGGTACTACTGTTCTTCATCCTGGGTTTTCCATATCCTGAATGCCCTGGCACTGAACTGTGACCTTAGGGGACACTGGGGGCACCTCGATCCCACTCACTTAGGGTCCTGGGAACCCAGCGTGTAGCGGGATGGGGCTGCCCTGGTGTCTGCAGGCTCCTGGTCAGCTCTCACCCAGGGGCACATATGGGCCATCGCTCCTTAGCCCAGGACTCACTCCAGGAAGAGGGGCCGGGCCACGGTCTCGCCCCTGACGTGGGCAGCGTGGAACAGCGTGTAGAGGTGGGGCAGCAGCGCGTAGCGCAGGGTGAGCGCCTTCCTCATGGCCTGCTGGGCCATCTCGCTGAACCTGTAGGGCTCTTGTGGCTGTGTGGGTGCAGAGAGCAAAGGGGTCCAGGGTCCCACAGCGGGTCTGCCCTGGGGACCCCAGTGCTCCCTGGCCACCCGCATGGGGGACACGGCAGAGGCAGGAACCTGCCCTCACCAGGCTGTGCAGGTCATTGTGGTTCCGCATGAAGGGGTAGAAGGCCCCGAGCTGGGTCCAGCGCACACACAGCTCCTCTGAGGTGTTGCCCAGGAAGCCACAGATGTCTGCCCCGACCAGGGGCACCCCCAGCAGGTTGAACTGCAGGACTTCTGGGAAGGCAGAGGCAGATGACCTCAGGTGGCTGGGGGAGGGCAGGCAGGCCACGATGCCGGGCTGGCAGCAGTGCGGATCCTGCCACATCCCTCCCMGAATAAGGGTCTGGCCCTGCTTCCACCTGGGGCCAGCAGCCTTGTGTCTGCCCTGTGGACTGCTTCCTGGGACCCGGGTAAGCAGAGCTAATCAGACCCCTGTATGGGCGGAACTGTGTCCCCAGAAAGACACATTTGAGTCCCATCCTCCTGGACGGAGAGCGTGACCTCATTTGGAAGTCAGGCTGCCGAGGCCCTCGGGTAGGCCCTGACCCRGTGACTTACACCAGCGACCTCATAAGGAGGTGTGCATGGGGACAAGCACCGTGGAGGCAGCCCTGTGACGGACAGAGCCTGGAGCCAGCACCGGGAGCCCGTGATGGGAGGACCCCAGGGCTGTGGTGGCGTGCGGGTCTGCCCCAGGGACCCTGGTGCTCCCTGGCCATGTGGCCAGCACCTTGGCTCAGACTCGCCTCCAGCCTGGCAGAGGGCACAGCCCAGCCACGTCAAACCCCAGCTGTGGTCCTGGCTTGGGGCAGTCTATCCCTCTGCTCAGAGGTAGACTGGCGCAGGTCCTCCTGTCCAGCCTAGTGCCGCTTCCCTAGGCCCACTCTCCCCAAGGCCCCGGGAACCAGGACCCAGAGTCAGAGCTGAGACAGCAGGACGGGGCCCAGCTGGGACCACAGGGGACTTCTCTGGGCTGCAGCGGATCCTGAGAACTGCAGGACTTTGTTCAGTGGCATGAGAATCAAAATCAAGACCCAGAGGGAGCGAAAAGGCCTGTGTGCTGGACCCTGCAGGCCGCTCATGGTGGCCCCAGCTCTCGCAGCTACCCCGGGTGGGACGCGGGTGACTGCGCAGAGGCGGAGGCCCCTACCACAGGGGCTCACTTCTCCCCAGAGCTTGGCCAGGCCAGACCCCGTGGCCTGTGGGTCTGCACAAGTGTCACACACAGAGGTGAGACTCCACTGGTCAGAACATCTCMGAGGCCACAGGGCTCTGGTGACGCTCTCTCAGTTGCCCATGTGGTGACCCGGCACTCCTCACTCCCAGACCCCTTCTCTGGGGCTCCTGAGCCAGTTCTGYGTCTAACACGCCTCAACGGCATCAAAGCTCCTGGGACAAGATTAAATTCCTTCTTGTTGGGCAGAGCTGGGCACYGAGCTGGGTGGGGCAGGTGGCACCCTGTGAGGAGGGATCCAGTTTCCTGCAGTTAGGACGCGTCACCATGAGGGGAACTGTGAGAGGTGAGAACTGGATGGCTTTGGGGCAGTAGTCGGGGTAAACTAGAGACAAGGACCCCCCACAAGCGAGGTGACACAAGGGGTCATCCTGCACAGCTCCTGGGCGAGCACAGGTGTGCAGGGGCCAGTCGGCCTCGCGCCCTGTGACCCAGTGGTGGGCCCCCAAGCCACTGTAGCTCCATCTGGACTGTGCTGAGTCCAACATCCAGTGCTGGGGCCCAGCTCCCCGAGAGGGGCCCCCGCTGACCTCTGATCACTCCTCCTGACGGGTGCTCTCACCTGGCACRGAGTAGGACAGCTGCTCCCAGCTGCTCCACACGTCCCCTGTCCAGTGCCCAGCGTATCGGCCGTGGCCAGCGAAGGTTGAGCGGGAGATCACAAATGGTCGTGTCCCCCGAGTCTTCACCAGGGCCCTGAGTGGAGCAGGGGACACTTGAAAACCCCTTGCCATCTGCCAGAGTGGAGTAGCAGGTCACAGCAGCGGGTGGACAGCATGGGGAAAAGGAACTGACCACAGGGAGACAGGAGGCTGCAGCGCAGGGACAGAGGTGACTGCCAACTTCTGCTGGGCTCGTCAGCAGTGGGCTGGCCCAGCTGACTCTGCCTAGGACTCATGGGGTCCCTGCCGGTGCAGCCGCCCATCTGGGCAATGGCAGGACACACCAGGCTTCTGGCGCCAGGYGGGGGTGGGGTGAGCAGAGGGCTCAGGCCCTGCTGGCCCCAGGGCGTCCAAGTRTCCTCTCCTCCCTTGGTCTGCTGTCGGCGTGAGCAGGGACAGGCTGGGCAGGACAGGGCAGGGAGGGCAGTGCAGGAAGCCCTCACCTATTGGAGGCGATGGCTTCGGTCAGGCCGTACAGGTTATGGAGGTCATAGTGTGTGGAGAGGAACTGGTGGCTGGAGGCACAGATGGTGGCTGCCTGCAGGGTCCCACCTACCACCCCTGCAGAGAGTGGGGCTGCTTTCCATGGTCTTCCTCCCAGGGTGGGGGTCCACAGTGCCCCGTCCGGCACCCTGGTTTCTGTCTCCCCAGGCTCAGCCCAGAGGTACTTCCTGAAGCTGACCTCATGCCCCCAACAGGCCTGGGACCCTTCCCTGGTCATGGCTGTGGCCCAAAGACTTGGGGCACGTCCCTGTACCACCCCCATTATTCCCAAAGGCTCTGCAGATCCCCAGCTTCATGTCCACCTTCTCGTGACCCATGGCAAGTGTCCCCTGTCCCTCCTCTGAAGTACTGGCTGCACGTGACCATCTGCACCCTTGGACGTGTCACCACCTGGACCTCACTGCTGGGCCCCTGCCTCCCCTCTCCCTTCCCTCCCTCTCTCCTGGCTGGCTGCTGCCTATGGCTTCTCAGCTTGGAGACTCCAGAACTAGGGAAGGGAAGCCCCTGATTGGAGCCATCAACCCCCAGGTGGCAGCCCGGGGGCGGTGGGCTCACCAGGCACGTAGGGGGGGTTTTCCAGGTCGTTGCTGGGGCAGCCATGCTCAGAGCCCCTCACAAAGTTGGACGGCTCATTCATGTCCTGTAAGAGAGGGCCAGTGGGCAGAGGGCGGGGCTGGGCCCCAGAGGCCAGGGATGCCAGGGGCGGGGGCCACACTTACAATCCACATGCCATCAAAGGGCACCTGGGCATGGAACTCGGCCACCATGTCCTGCCACCAGTCAAGGGTCTCGGGGTTGGTGAAGTCGGGGAAGGCACAGGATCCGGGCCACACCTGGAAGAGAGGGCAGAGGGAGAGGCCCCACCCCAGCCAGTCTGCGCCAAGGCCCTGCTGCGTCTCAGCCTCGCTCTTGGTCAGTGTCCAATTCTGCAACCTGAGACCTCAGCCCAGGAGGTCATGGGCAGGTCTGAGAGGGCTGGAGGGGCCTCAGCCCTGGGACCACCGTACCCATCCAGGCAGGATATGAATGCACCACGGACAGTGTCCTTCTGACACCGTTCTAAGCCCTCACTCTAGGACAAGGGTCCCCAGGCCCGAGTCCAGGCTCACTCTGTGTCCTGGGGAGTCCTGCCTAGCCCCTCCCTCAGGGGCCCCCCTTCCTCTTGTCCCCTCAGAAGGACAAGAAGAACCCCGCAGCCTCCCGGGGGGTCTGCAGGGCTGTGCCTGGGYGGCCAACTTCCCATGGAGCCCAAGAACCCCTGACGGAAGAACTCCAGGGTGTCCTGTCAAGGGCCACGGCCGCCCCAGCTGTGACCCACCCTCCCACTCTGTCCCCCTGACAGGCGTCTCTGGAATCCCAGTCTTTCCCAACRGCTGCCCCAGTCCCACTGGCCGGAGCACCCAGACCTCCTACCTTTCCAATCAGCGGCTGTCCAGTCTCATTGGTGATGAACACCCCCCTCCGCAGGCCCTCGTCAAAGGGTCTGTAACTCCCAGCAGGGCCCGAGCTGCTGATGGCAGGGTCCTGGGGTGCAGGAAACAGGTCAGGGTGGAAGGACGGGGCCCAAAACCTTCCACCAATCCAAAACCAATCTCTGGGAAAACTGTGCAGGGTAAAGCCAGACACATGTGCGGCCCACCCCAAGTGTGTCCACGTGCTGCCCGCAGACAGGGACGGGCCAGCTGGCTGCAGGGCCGTGTCTGGGAGGGCTCTTCCCCCAGGCTCGCCGGCATGCCTGAAGGGACCAGCTACTTTTTGTTTTGTTTTGCAGTGCTGAGGGTCAAGCCCAGGGCCTCCCATGTGTTGCTAGACAGGCAAGCACTCTGCCACTCAGCTGCTCGCCCCATTATTTAAATTCTGAGAGGGTCTTGCTAACTTGCTGAGGCTGGCCTTGAACTTGTGATCCTCCTGTCTCAGCCTCTGCACCACATCCATTTACTTCTTTCTTAGTGATTAAAAAAAAAAAAATAGGAAAGGGCTGGGTTGTGGCTAGTGAGGGCATCTGTGAGGCCCTGGGTTTTGACTGGCATCTGTGAGGCTCTGGGTTTTGACTCTTTTTTTTTTTTTTTTTTTTTAAACTTATTTATTTATTTATTTATTTTTTAATATTTATTTTTCAGTTCTTGGCGGACACAACATCTTTGTTGGTATGTGGTGCTGAGGATCGAACCCGGGCCGCACGCATGCCAGGCGAGCGCGCTACCGCTGAGCCACATCTCCAGCCCTGGGTTTTGACTCTTAGCACCACATACAAATAAATTAATAAAATAAAGGTCTCGTGTCTATCTACAACGAAAAAAAAATCATACAAAAAGTACTCTCTGTGAGGTGGCGGCTAATGTTTGCTGCCCTTTGAAGGGTGGCCGTGATGGAGGGGTCAGGTCCATGCAGCTCTAAGCCCCTCGGCCACTGAATGTCCTCCACTGAAGGGGTCTCCGTGGGGTGACTGAGCTCCGTGGCTCCCACTTCCCACATCTCTGATAAGGGCTGGCCATGAGACCTGACCAGACCACCTCCTGAAGTGCACACCTGTGCTCTGGGCTGCGCCCTCAGCCATGCCCTCCCTCCACCCCACGCAGACAGCTGCCCTGGGGAAGGGACTGGGCCAGGAGACAGCTGTCCTGTGTCCAGCTCCCCAAGCCATCCCCTTACATGAGCTTACTGTAAAGCCTGTGGCTTTAAGGTGGCTGAAGTAACCYACACCCGAAGAATCCTGAATGAGACAGGTTTTCCAGGGACCCTTAAACTGGACATCAGGGACTAAGCTTTGGCCTTCTTAATGTTCCCTCAATATCAAAGAGACTCAGATAATGTCCTGGGTGACCATGGCGGGCACGAGGAACAGGCCACCAAGAGGAGAAGCCAGGGGCTGCTTTGCGGGAAGGACACTCACCACGATCATCACGTACCGCCGGCCACTCTGGTGGAGCTGACGCACAGTGGCCGGGAAGTCTGCGAAGCTGTCCCTGTCGAAGGTGAAGTCCCTCCGTGCGTCCATGTAGTCCAGGTCATTCCACTGCACGTCCTGTGGCCACGGCACAGGAGCCACACTGGGGTCCAGGAGCTGTGCCTGACCCTGGCTGCCCAAGACCCTGGGCGACCCTCTACTCACCAGGGGGAAGTGGGCCCTGGTCATGTTCTCCACTACCTGGCGGACAATGGCGGTGGATGAGTAGCCCCAGCGGCAGAGGTGGAAGCCCAGGCCCCAGTAGGGAGGCATGAAGGGGTACCCTGCAGGCGACACTTGTGGTGAGCRGGTGGGCAGGACAGGCGGGGCGGGCTGAGGATGGGCACAGGCCTACCCACGACATCCAGGTACTGCTGCACCACGCTCTTGGGCTCCGGGCCAACGAAGATGTACACGTCCAGGATCCCTCCTGTCGACCTCCAGCTGAGGGCCGGGCTGGGCTGCAGGACCACGTCTGGGGGGAAATGGCCCAGGCTCAGGGACAAATGCCTGACCCAGAGGCCAGCACCCACAGATAGGCCAGAGTGCAGCCGAGTGCACCTCTTCCCACAGGTCCCTGCAGCGACCCCGCAGGTGGGGGTCGAGGACAGGAGCAGCTAGTGGCCAGGCCCCAGGATTTTCCCAGGACCCCTCAGGGGCACTGAGTGCAGAGCTGGGCAGGGCCTGCTGGCCTCATTTCTCATGCTGGGTATCTCGCGGCCCTGCGGCCTCCAGGGAAAGCGGGGGCCTCGGGCTGCCTGTGGAGGAAGCAGAGGGGACTCACCCATGGCATTGCTGTTCAGCAAGAACACCCCGTGAGCCAAGCCACTGTCCTCCAGCATCAGGTAGAAAGGGTGTGACCCGTAGAGGTTGGCACCGGGCTGGACACACAGGAGGTAACACTCAGCCTCTCGAACACCAACTCCACGACCCACCGGGTTGCTCCTGCTTTACCGTGGGGGCCAGATCCCGGTTCCAGAGGGTGATCTTGGTCCAGTTGGTGCTGAGCATTAGGGGGCTGAGGTGCTCAGCGAGGCCCACGATGTACTGGGAGGGCAGGGAGGTGGACAGCTGCAGGAATTGGTCAGCGAAGAACAGGGGGGCCACGGTTGTGTTCAGCCTGCAGGGGGAGACCAGGCTCCCTTGTACCTGGCCGACAGGGCCAACCGGGGCCCACCTGAGTGCAGGGCTGATGAGGGTGGGCGTGTCCTGGCCAGCTCTGCCATGGCTGACCTGGGGACAGACTGCCATGAGGGGCCCAGCAGYCCTCAGCACCCTGAAACCAGTGAGRAGATGCAGGGCACGTCCAGAGAGGCTGTGCCCACCCGCCCACCAGGCAGAGGACAGCGGGACGAGCAAGCACGGGGCATGCCAGGGACACAGGCACAGAGGAGGGCCAATGGCAGGGACGCTAGAGCCCCAGCTCCATCGCCTCCAGGGAGTCCCCTGCCTCTGTGCCACAGCGGGGTAGTAAGAGGCCAATAACCCAAGTGTCGTGGGTTTAAATGAAGTGATCATTAGCGTGTGGACCGGACTGGAGTGACAGCATTTGATGCATAAAATAAAGCTGGTAATGGCATGCCACCTGGCGGGGGTGCCACCCTCGACCAAGCCAGGGTCCCTCCTCAGGCACTGCTGGCATTCAGGTGGGTCTCCTGGGCACTGCAGGAAGCTGGTCAGCACCTCACTCATGAGAGGCCAGGAGCACCCCACTGTGCCCACGTTAGTGCCTAAGATACCACCAGCCGCTCCTGGCAGGTGAAGTCCTAGGCCAGGTGACCCCCCAGGAGGGACSTCACACCAGGATCCCAGAAGAGTGCCCCGCTGAGCCTCCGTGGGCATGGGTCTGGATGTGCCAGGTATGGCCAGGAGGCCCGGATGGGAGGTGGGCCCTGGGTCAAGACYGACAGAAGACCAGAGCTGAGAACGCTGCTGTCCAACTCACTGACAGGCCCAGCCCTGAGGCCCTCCCTGACCACACCCACTAGCTGGGGCCTGAGGCCCAGGCCCCCAACTCACAGCACCCGGCCGTCCAGCTTCCGGCGAACCACCAGCCCAAAGGGCTCCTCCGAGAACTCCACGCTGTAGAGCGGGGACAGTGCCCGGCTGCGGACACGCGGGACCTGCAGGGGCACCTCATAGCGCTTGTTAGCAGGATCTTTGATCTAGGAGAGACAGTAGTCTTCAGGCCCCTCGTGGACAGGGAGGCACATGCCCAGTCCCTCCCGCTGCCTGAACACTCTCCTGCAGACTCCTATGGGATGGCCGAGGCCTCGCTTCCTGGAGGAGGCCCGGGGCCACCTCTGCCCTGAGCCCTGCCTTCTAGAGCCCCCGTCACCACCAGGCCTCACTGTTCTGCCTCCACCTTGGCTTCTAGCTGGGGTGCACACAGTGCCACAAATGCACTCCCCGGTCACCTGTGCACACACACACACTCTGTCCTCTCTGCCCCTGCCCACCGTGAAGTGGAGGCGGCTCTCCGTCTCCATCAGCACGTCCAGTCGTAAGGTCAGGATGTCCCTGGGGAAGAAGGTGGGGGACGTGCGGGTCAGGGTGGCTGTGTAGCCCGTCTCCGAGGGGCTCAGGCTCTCCATCCTGTAGCTGGGGTAGCTGGGTGGGAAGAAACACCAGGGCTGCCCCAGCAGAGGGCCCTCAGGGTCCCTGCTCGCTGGGACATAGCAGCAGCCGCGGGCCTCACACTCCTGCTGGGTCAGGGCCTTGTCCGGGGCACAGTCGAAGCGGCTGTTGGGGGGGACGTCACACTGTGTGGGCGCTGCTCTGGGCTGGCCAGGGTGCTCCAGGGTGTACCGCGGCCCTTGCCAGTTGGCTTGCTGCCGGTGAACTCGGGGACTTTCCTCCACCGGGAAGTCATGGACCAGGACATGCCCCAGCAGGGCAGCCGCGGCCAAGAAGATGAGGGCGCAGACCCCCATCACGGGGCGGGAGCAGGGCGGCCACCTGGCATTCATGGCTGACACCTGCCCGTCTGGGGCAGTGCGGGCAGCTCCTGGAGGCCTGCCGAGGGAAGGACTGGGCTCAGCGGGGAGGCAGGAGGGGCGGCAGGTGGGTTTTTTCTCTGTGGTGCTGGTGGTTAAACCCAGGGCCGAGCAGGCCAGGCTGTGCTCCACCCTCCAGCGACACCTGCAGTCCCTCATTAACTGTCCAGCAGGCCCAGGAGGTGCAGGAAGGCCGTCCCGTCCTGGCAAGGAAGCCAGGAGCAGGGGCAGGATGGTGGTGCTCCTCAGAGGCCATGGCGGGMGCTGCAATCTATGCAGACTGACGTGGGAGGAGGGAGACCAAAGGGAAAAGAGGGACTGTAGATCACCTCCCACTGAGTCTTCCACAATGTCACAACTGAGATGCACCAGTGGGAGAGGGACAGGCCCAGCAGGAGGGGTGACCATCAGATGGCAAGAGGGACCCCCCTCCTGCAGGAAGGCTGGGCCCAGGCTGCTAAGTCTTGGCCAGCAAGCTGTGTCCTAGGGGCCCTGCCACCTCCCCTTGGTTCCTTTCCTGCTGACAGTGAGAATTTTGGGCGTTGCAGTCTCGGGTCACGCGCTAAGGATGGCCATGCCCCGAGAAAGGCCCTCGCCCCACCACTCTGAGGGCCCCTCCAGGCCTCGCTGCAGCACACGGGGAGGACGCGCTCTGTGGCTCGCGGACCCTGGAGCACCTGGGAACGGGATGCCAATGAGGAGGTAAGGTTCAAGTGCTGGTGGCTGTGACCGTCCTGTTATCTTTTTGGTAAGTCCCCAACAGTGTGTGAGGAGCTCTGCGTTCGTCGTGAGGTGACTTGATTACCCTTTAATCTGAGAGCAAGTGGGAGCAAGGAGGCCGGGAAGTTGCCCCATGGATGCAAGTCTGACCCCAAAGGAAGGAGAAAGGGGGGTGGGGCTGAGGTGTCTTGGCAGCAAGGCCACCAAGGGGGGCCTCCAACCACACTGGCTCATCAGAGGGGGCTGGGTCTCCCAGGAATGGGCCCCAGGGCAGAAACAGGTGTGGATTTTCAGAGCACAGCAACTGGGGCCCTCAGCCAATGCAAGCCCATGTCGTGGGAGGTCTGTAGGTGCCCCATGGCCACCAAACAGACACACTGGGGAAAGCTGTGCACCAGCAGAGGCGAACGTGGGTCCCGAGACTGCCTGGCCTCCCTGATCACAGAGGGGGGCTGGGAACCGTGTGACCATCAGCCACGCTCGGGGCCACGGGGCATCTGGTGAATTGGCTCTCTGGGGTGCAGCAAAGGTTTGACAYTCAGTCTCTCTCACCAGCGGGACTCTCCAGACACCGGCTGAGGTTCAGTTCTGACACTACCCAGTTCAGTTCTGACACACTACCTACCTGGAGTTGGGCAGACCCACAGTAAGAGCTCAGACCCACCCTGGATGCCCGCTGCAGGTTCCAGGCTGCCTTTAGAACTTCTGATTGGCTACACACGTGGGGTGTCCCCAGACCCCTCAGGTCGGGTGATTCAACACATGGGCTCAGGGAACTCAGGAAGGCACTTTACTTAAATTTTCTGCTTTGTTACAGACATAACTTGGGAACTGGCAGATGGAAGAGATGTGTAGGGCAAYCTGGAGGCTCTCTGAACCCCAGTTCAGGGGATTTTTATGGGGCTCCATTATGTAGGTGTGACTGAGTAAATGAAGGGGCCACTGGCAACTGACTCCCATCTCCAGCCTTCCTGGGAGGCGTGGCTGGGTGGGGACTTTCACTCTGATCAAGTGTGGGTCCTCCTGGTCACCAGCCCCATCCTGAAGCTACCTAGGGGCCTTGAGCCACCTCGGGAGCAAACTTTTCAYGCTTACACTTAACAGGGCCAGCTTCCAAGGATTTAGGAGCTGTGTGCCAGGAAGCAGCCAGGAAGACTAAATAGTGACTTTGAAGGGTCCCAGCTCCACCTGGCCCTGCTAGACACATGTGCCAGCTGGTGACCATGACTGTCTAGGGAACTCCGACAGGACACCCCAGCAGAGCGGCGTCTGCGCGCAGCATCTGCGTTTTTCAGGAGCTGCGGGGCACAGCGAGGCAGAGCGCAGTCTGCAACACGCCCACCGGGGGAAGCGAGGTCCTGGGAATGGGGACCGGCAGCCCTGGGCCCGGCACGGGAGAGTGCCCGGCTCATCTCTCGGTTCGACAATTCGGAGAGGAAATGGGGAAGAGCTAAAGGTCAGGCGCTCCAGCTGACCCGGTGAGTTCTGCTTTCTGGTGGTGCCCGGGGCAGCTGCTCTCCGGGAGCAGCGCGGGTCGAAGCGCAGCTTTTGGACACCGGAGCAGAGCCTCCCCGGCTGGGCGCGGCGGGGACCAGCGAGAGGCCGGAAGTCTGGGGCCCCGGCCCACTGTCCCCCGCGACCCACCGGGGCCTCCCCCGCGACCGCGCCGCACTGCCCGACTCTCCCCACCAAGAGGTCGCCGACAGCCGGGCGCCGCACCCGGCAGCCCGCCGCGGAGGCCAGCACTGCAGCCGGCTGCCGGGCCTCGGACGGCCGCCCCCGCTCACCTGCGCGCACGTCGGCCCGCTGCCGCTCACCGGCGCGCATGCACGCCTCCCGCGGCGCAGACCCGGGGCAGGCCGGGCGCGGGTCACGTGGCCCGCCGGCCGGTGGGCGGGGCCGTGGCGGTCACGTGTCGCGGCTGCCCGCGCAGGCGCGCGAGGCCAGGCGCGCTCTCAGGTTGCGCTGCGCCACCTAGTGGCGGCGCGGGTCCGGCGGGACAGGTGCCCCCAGGAGAGCGTCCTGCAAGTGGCTGCCTGTCCCTACGGGGTCCAGAGACAAGGTGCGGCGTGGGCACAGCCCAAGCCTTGGTCGCCTTCCTGCGGCTAGTAAGACTCGGTCAAAGCTTGCCAAGCCGCACTCTGCACCTCGGGACTGCATGCTGCAGCCCCAGCCCCAGGGCATCCTCAGAAAGACTGGGTGACAGGTTGAAATGAGCCTACATCTGGAGGCTCCTCCAACTTCCCACAATTCACGCTTATTCTCTAGAGGAATAGTCAAACATCGTGATAAMCCATAAAACCTGTGATCGTGAAAACATTGTATATAATGTGAAGCGTTTTGTCTTTTTTGCTAAAGTGAGAAAATGCTTACGCTAAGATGAACAAATTTTAGGTGTGGGATACAAAGACTGAGTGCACACTTCAGGAGGAAGTAAGGARCGATGCCCAAATCCCCACAGCCGTTGCCCTGGGTGGGGAATGAAGACCTCCCCGCCTGCTTTGTGGYGCTGTACTTCTGCAATGTTGTACAGTCAATAGGCCTCACTCCCATAGTCAGAAAGAATGTTTTTATTCTTCAGCTGCAAAATTTGAAAGTGAAATTATTTCATCAAGCATTTTCCCTTTCAGATTTGGAGAAGCCACAGGTAATTGATGCATAGAATTCAAGGGCACAGGAGAAAGGGTTAATGATGGGGAGAGGCTGACAGACGTGGGACAGGCAGACCTGCTGGTCACCTCCCTTGGAAGTCCCGAGAGCCTTGACTTGTCCCTACAGACGGTACCTCTGACTTTAACATACCCTGGAGGTGGGGGCAGGAGAAGGGGCCAAGTTCTTTGTGGGCTTGGTGGATTTCCAGATGTGCCCCGCCAGAAGCACTGAGTAGGAATGAAGTGGCCTGCGTGGCCTGGCTGGCCAGTCCTGCTCCATGGGTCCCCTCTGCCCTACCTGCCCCCTTCCCCATACCTGGGACAATATTCCAGGAAGCTCCTGCAGATGGGGGAGTTGCTAAAGCTGGACTTCCACTTGGACCAATCAGCTCAAGAAAGGAAGCAGAAGGCAGGCAGCCAGCAGGCTCAGGAGGCACCCAGGGAGCCCTGGATTGGACTTGGTTTAAGCTGCTGAGCGGCTGGGAACTAATTCCTGCAGGCCGGCCTCTCCATTTCATCACACAGGGACATTCTGGGGGACGCATGTTTTTTAGGAACACAGAAAGACCTCTGGGGGTAAACAGAATTCTGGCGGTCTTCCTCAGGGGTGGGCCTTGGAAGGCGGAGTCCTGAGCTTTCTAGGTGGGCTCCAGCTTGCTGGCGATCTTCTGGGTAACCTTGCTGAGGGCCTCCTGGAACTGGGGGTGCTCATCCTGCACCTGGGTGAGGATGGTGCTGAGCAGGCCCAACCGGTCATTCAGCCGCCTGTGCTCCATCAGCAGGGATTTCTTCGAGCGGAACAGGAACACGTACCTCCCGTCAATCACAGCCTGCAGGTGCTTGAGGCGAGTCTGCAGGGCCACAATCTCCGAAAGGTTCTGGGTGGGAAAGAGACCCCACGTCAGGCCGTGCAAGTCGGGAGGACACCTGCTCTACCGCAGTGCAGAGCCGAGGGAATGCCAAAGAGGAGCACCGTGCCCAAAAGAGCCCAGTCTCCAAGTTCAAGGTGCGGAGGCTATCCCTCCCAAGGGAGCCTTGTTCACCGTCGCAGGGAGACATCTTTGACACTGCCGTGTGTCAGGCCTGGTTCCAGACCTGTTCTGGTCTCCATGGCCCTGGCTGAGTCCTCCCATCTCACACTCACACCACCGTCCGTCCAGTAGGAAAGCCCACTGGCGGAACTTCTGAATGGGATGCAGAATCCAGAAGCTTCCCTGGGTGGCTGCCCCAGTCCGTGCACACTCCAGCAGCAGCCTCCTGCGTCCACCCTTGACCCTTCACCCAACACCCTCCAACAACAGGGAGATCCTGCCAAACACCAAGTCCCCTCACCCAGAGCCCTTCATTATCTCCTCCTCAAGTTGCCAAGAGAAAGACCCAAAGCCAGGATCATGCGCCTCCAAGGCTACACACACCAGAGTGTCCCCTTTGCCTGGGTGGCTCTGTCTCTCCTGGCCTCCTTCAAGTCTCAGCTCAAATGCCATCTTCTCCATGTGGCCTCYCAGAACACCCCACTCAAAATCTCAGTCCCCCATTCCACCCTGATGCCTGACATTCTTCCTCTGCTGAATTTTCTCCAAAGAATTTATCACGGCCTAACACACCCTGTCTTTTTCTTTATTTATTCTGTTTAGCCTCTGTTCTCTTGCTCCCAGCATGTGGTCTCTGGTGAAGGGTGGGCGGGCATTTTGTCTTTCTGCTCTGTCCTGCAGTCCTGGCACCCAGGATGGGCCCAGCCTAGACTCAATAGCTATCGATATTTGCTAAGTGAAAAAAATCAGAGAGTCACAAACATGTGAGCAGCTGGTGGTGCCATCAGCCTGGGCCTGCCTGGACCCGAGAGGCCTTCCCTGGGTGGCACCCCCTTCTCTTGCATGTGGCGCACCCCTCTGCCAGGRTGCCTGAGCCCCAGTGACCTCCTGGCTTTTACCTGTCGCTTGAGGGCCACCAGCCGGCGGAGGTCAGCCTCCAGCGTGTCGGAGTCCGCCTGCATCATGGACAGCTTTTCCTGCTTCTCCAGGAGGGAGCTGCTCATGAGTTTCTGAGTCTCTTCCAGCTCTGAGATGGTCTTGGTGCACTCCTCGTTGGCCTGGGAGGTAAGCAGAACCTGCTGGGCCCTGCGTGGCCCTCACGTCTCGGACAGAGGAGTGCCAGGCCAGGGCCCGGAGGACGAGGAGGTCCTGGTGGGGAACCGGGAGGCACGGAAGGCAGGGAGGAGGGGGACATGGGACAGGGAGCTGCAGAAGGGATGGATGCCAGAGAGGCTGGTGCCACAGACGAGGGGCGAGGAGGGGCCTCTGCCTCGGCGCCTCGGAGACTTCCAGGGACTGCCCCACGGCACTGGAGGGCCGCTCCCTTCCCCTCCCGAGGAGGAGGCACAGAGAGGAGGCCACATGCCCCCCTCGTGAGTAGAAGAGAGGGCTCTGAGGCCATGTTCTCAGGTGTCCCCAAAGCCACCCACTGTGCAGAGCCACGGCTGCTGTCCCATTGAACCCTTTGCCTACAGGGAGGCAGCTCCTGCCCCTCCTCCCAGGGCAGGTGTAGAGACGCAGGCTCCACAGTGCCCAGGGCCCACAGCTGGTCAGCAGGGGCTGTGGGCCAACCTGGGAAGTCTGAGCAGTCGCCAGGGAAGGGGGCGCTGGGGCAGCACTGGCTCCACCCCTCCGCAGGCAGGGCACACACAGGCTCAGGGGATGTGGCTGGGGGGACAGGAAGGCGGTCCCCGGGAGAGCAGCACAGAGCCCTGCTGAACACGGGCCAGCTGGGGGCCACCACGTCTTCACTCAGAGGCTCCAGCAGGGGCCCTGTGTCCCCCTCGTAAAAAGATGGTGGCCAGCCCCAGAGGCTGCAGGGACTCCTGTCATCAAGCAGGACAGACTGGTGTGTCCATTGCCARAGCTGGCCTGCTGCCCCCTCGTCACGTCCCTGTCACAGCCTCAGCACGGCAGTCCCGACTGCAGCCCTGGACTGAGTTGCTGAGAGCACTCGCTGACAGGTGGATGGTGGGGGCTGGGCCGGGGTCCTCAGGCCCTGGGACAGGTGGGCAGGCTCCTCAGGGGGCCAGTGGGTGGGGGGGCATTGGGGCACCTCCGGATCCTGAGGCCGCGGGTGGGAAAGCACAGGGGGGCGTCCAGGCCTTCCCCCGCTGCCCACCTTGTGCACGTCCCTGATCTTCTTGCGCAGCTCCATCTGCCTGTGGCGGAAGTCCGTCCGGGTGACCGCCTTCTTGTCCATCTTGCTCTGCCCCTCGGCGTGGGTCACGATGGTCTCCCTGCGGGCCACGGCCAGCTCCATGTCGTGGACCATCTTCTCCTGCTGCTTCAGCAGCTGCCCGTGCTTGACCTGGGCACAGGACAGAGGGGCTGGGCGGGGCACAGCTKGTCCTCCGCCGCGGTCCTCCCACCCGGGACGGGAAAGGGGCGTTCCTGAGCAGAGCCGGTGGCTTGGTTGGCGGGGCCAGGCTGGTTTCTTGGMTGTGACAACGACGTGACCCTGAGGGAAGCTGAGTGCTCTGCCTGTGGCCGGGACGGGTGGAGCTGGGAGGGTCGACCTCAGGGCACAAGGGACTGTTCTGGAGCCACAGAACCCTTGGGGTCTCGACTGTGGCTGTGGCCACACAGGCGTGTGCCTGGGTCAGAACCCAGAGTCATCTTCCTTTTTCTTTCCTGCAGTCCTGARGGTGGAACTGGGGGCTCTGACTGAGCGGCAGCCCCAGCCCTTTTTATTTTTACTCTGAGACGGGGTCTTGCTAGGTTGCTGAGGCTGGCCTGGAACTAGGATCTTCCTGCCTCAGCCTCCCAGTGGCTGGAATATGGGGGTGCACCATGGCACCGAGCTCAACTGTGTGTTAAGATAAGCACATTTTACTGTAGGTAAAGATAGGCCTCGACAAGTGGACTTGGAAGAAACACAGCCAGGTGCGGGGGCCACACCCGTGACCCCAGCGGCTCAGGAGGCTGAGGCAGGAGTTCAAACCCAGCCTCTGCAATTTAGTGAGGCCCTAAGCAACTCAGTGAGACCCTGTCTCTAAACAAAATACAAAAAAGGGCTGTGATGTGGCTCAGTGGTTAATGTGGCTCAAAAGAAAGCTAGCTAGCTAGCTGAACAAAAACSAGAACCTGGAGTTGGAAGGGATGTAACCACCATCACGTGATTTTGAATACTCATCTGGCAGGCCGTGTTAGGAATGTACTCCTGGGGATGGGGACTCAGCCCAGTTGTACAGCGCCTGGCCTTGCGGGAGGCCCAGGGTTCCACGCCTAGCAGCACTGAGTGAGTGAGTAAATGAAGACGTTGTTTAAAACACGAATTTGCCTATCGGTAGCCTCCTCTTGGGAATCCAGTGCACAGGAAGATGGACCGGGTGTCACCTAACACGGTGTGAGGGTTACTTTTTGTCACCAAGGGCTGCCCAGATAGCTGGTGCCCACGACCCCTGGGGGTTCTGTGAGGGCGTCCTGCAAGAGCCTGGCCTGCCGGTCAGTGCACAGTAGAGGTCCGCTCTCCCTGGAGGCGGGCGCTGTCCGCTGGCTCGGCACTGGCCGGGCACCTGCTAGGTGGTGCATGACCGTGGCTATGCTCTGTGGGATCTGCTTCTCSGGGGAACCCTCAGGGTTTGGGGAAACCCGACCCAGTGTGTGAGAACTGGCTGCTGAAGGCAGACGGTGCCCGAGGCTCAGGAAGAGGCGGACAGACCCGGGACTGCCCCGAGAGCGAGCTGGAGGCACCCGAGACAGTAGTGTATCTTGGGAGGCAGCAAGACAGGGTCCCTGCACCCCAAGGCAGGAGGAAGGGGTCTACACGCTAAGCTGGACAGAGAGGGCCGGGCTGTGGCCAGCCAGAATGTTCCTGGCCTTTCTCACACATTGCGAAAGCGCTGGTCGTTAGTGAAGGAACAGCCCTGGCGCCCGAGGCCGGTACACCGCCTGGCCGACTGTCCTACGACTCTGCCAGACCTCGAGAGGGTGGGCTGAGTGCCAGGGCCAGCTGGCAGTTACGTTGGGGATGGCTGTGCCACGTCAGGATGGACCCCGGGACCAATACCCATGTGCTGGGGCAGAGGGACCCCGGGAAGCCTCCTTCAGCTCACGTGTCTCAGTTAACTGTGGGGCAGGCACCGTCCACTCTATAACTGCCTAAGAACGCTGGTGTCTGTATTTAAAATAGAGAAGTGGAGGGTCACATGGGCACTGTTTTTGTTAAGGATGCGACTCCAGAGGGCAGGATGCGTGGGGCAGGTCTGAACCCAGCAGGCCCCTTGCCCTGTGGGGCTCGCTCAGCCACCCTAATGGGTAGGGGCGGGGGGCGGGAGGGGCGCTCTCTGCTCCCCGGGATGGGGAGCTGGCTCCCTGCAGCAAATGCATGGCTTCTGTGGTTTGGGACACAAGGAAGTATTTTTAAAACGACTTTTCAGGAGTGCATGCATCTGAACTGAAGAGCGGCTCGTCAGCCAGAGGGATCTGTGTTAAATGACACTGTCACAGTGGCATCACGTTATTCTTATCAACCCTGGGGCTTTTCTTTTTGGTGGTACTAGAGATTGAATCCAGGGGTGCTCAACAACTGAACTCCATGCCCGTAGCCCTTTTGATTTTTTTTAATTTTGAGACAAGGTCTCACTAAGTTGCTGAGGCTGGCCTCAACCTTGTTATCCTTCTGCCTCAGCCTCCTGAGCCTCTGGGACTGCAGGTGGCCCACCCCAGGCTTACTGCTTGAAGGCTGGGAGCCTGAAGCTCATTGTCAGCCTTTTAAGGTAGTGAAGTCTGGATTCTGTGAAGGACCAGATGGCTCTCTGAACACTTTGTCTTGCGAGTTTCTTCTTGTCCCACAGTGGGACATGTCTCATTAGTGGGTTGAGAAACTGTCTGTGAAATACCAGGCGAGTGCCTTGATTGCTCCAGCAAGAATGAGGTTGTGCTTCTTGAAGTCACGTGTCCATGCACCGCAGGCTCAAGGCCAGCCTGGGCAACTTAGTGAGACCCTGCCTTAAGTTTACAAAGGGCTGGGACGTAGCTCAGTGGACAAGTGCTTCCGAGCACGGGCAGAGCCCGCAGTTCCAGCCTCAGGACCAAGAAAAGAAAAAAAGGCTGTGTCACTGTGCATGTCCTGTGTTGTTCTGTGATCTCTGCTGGGCAGGAAGGACACAGCGCCTCGGGCCCCGAGGTGAGGCAGGTCTGGGCCTGTGCAAAGCCTGCATTTGGTAGGAATTTAGGTCTCTGTGCAGGAGGGAATCTCAGGCATTGTCACAGCCAGGGTGGCCAGGCAGTCCCCCCAGTGGAGCCAGGGCCTCGGCCTGGTGTGGTCCTGGTCCACGGAGGGATGCCTGCCGGGCCCCGCCAGGGCTGCGGCCCCGCACCCACCTTCATCCTGTGGATCTCGGCCTTCATGGTGCGGATCTCTGTCTGTCCTGTCTCAGAGTCCACCGAGGAGCGCATCTCTTTTGCCAGTTGGATTTTTTTCTCCCAAAGCATGATCTGGTGTCTTTGGAGGGAGGAGAGGCAGAGTGAGGGCTGGAGAAACCAGGGGTCTTCTCCCAGGGCCACATCGTGTGGAGCTGGGAGGCACAGGCTGCAAGGTCACAGCCTTTACTCTTTGGCCCCCCACAGAGAAGATCTGCCAAGCCTTGAGACAGACAGGCCTCCGGCAGGTGGGGTGACAAGGAAACAGATAAGGAGGAGGAGGAGAGAAGATGGGGAGGCAGGAAGAGAGTGTGAAGGTCTGACTGAGGAGTTGAGGAGGAAAGGCGACAGATGTCACCCTAAGAGGGAGTGAGACGCCCGTCGGCCCGTCCGTCCGCCCGAGGAGACCTGCGGTCTAACAGCTGTAAAGTCTCCAAGGAGCCAGCCCCCCAGGCACTGGCCACGGATGGCTTTATGCGTAGATTATGTTAAACTGCTGGAAGAGATGATGGCTTTGCGATTCACCCGCCTGGATGAGGGATTTGAATCACGGTGCCTACAGACAGCGCCCGCACAGCACCGTTCCCAAGGGAGTGGACAGAGCTTGAAGATCCCTGGTGGCTCCAGAGGAGATCCTGTTCCCCTAGTCCTGGGACTGAGCCCCCCCTTTTTAAATCTTGTTTTTTAGGTGTGGTTGGACACCACACCTTTATTTTATTTAATTATTTTCATGTGTTGCCGAGGAGCGAACCCAGGGCCTCACACGTGCTGGGCGAGCTCTGCTGCCCAGCCCCAGCCCAGCCCAGCCCTTTTAATTTTTTCTTTTTCTAATTTTGAGACGGGGTCTCACTAAGTCACCCAGGCTGGGCTCCAACTTGAGACCCCCCCCCTCGGCCTCCCGAGTAGCCGGGACCACAGGTGCGCACCACAGGGACACGTTTTTGTCAGAAACAAAACTGAACCAGAAAGAAATGCATCTGCGCAGTGGCTCTCCGGTAAAGAGAGTCGCTTCCCCCGACTCTGCTCACTGGGCTGTGGTCTGAAGTGCGCAGACACCGTAAAAGTAACGGGCGTGTTTTGAAGTTTATACCAAAGACAGCCACTCGGTTGGCACCAAGGGTGGTGGGCCAGAGCCCGGCAGTGGGTGGGCGCCAGGACGCTCCAGGCTCTGGGATGGTGGCCCTGGAGCAGAGCGGCGGGCGGGGACTCACTCTGCCTCCACCAGGCTGTTGAGGACGGTGGCCTTGTCCTCCTGGAGCTGCTCCAGCTTCTCCTGCATCTCGATGGTCTCCCTCTCGGCGGCCTGCGGAGGGAGGGTCAGGACACGGAGGCTGGGGCCAGAGGGGCAGGCCAGCCTCCTGACCCCCCTGGAGAGGACCCCAAGGCAGCACGGGAGCTACATCTGAGGGAGGACGCCCACACCAGGTCCGGGCCGGGGTGTGACCTTCAGCGAGCGCACGAACTCCGTCTCGGCCACCAGGTTATCCTGCTGCAGCTCCTGGGAGCTGCTCCGGCTCTTGTTCATGAGCAGGTTGAGCTTCTTGAGGTCGTTGTCCAAGTCCCTCATGTGGCGCTCAATCTCCTTCTGCTCCTTCTTCTCTTGCTCAATCTTGTCTGCAGCAGAGAGCAGATGTGGGGACCAGCAGGCTCGGGGACCTCCCACAGCGCAGGGACACCCAGGAAGGGAGTGAGGGTCTGCGGCTCTGGAGCTCCCTTGGTCCCCTGGTCCTTCCTGGAGTCCACCTAGACCTGACCCTCCAGGCTGGGGACAGGACAGGTCTCTTTCTGGTGCTGAGGTTCCCAATCCTGGTCCTTTGAGGAGCTGCGGGAGCCAGGCTGGGAGGGCGGGTGCCAGGGAGGAAGGGAGAGAGGCTGGGGGCTCCCTCCCTGAGATCCTGCAGGGTTCCTTGCACAGCGGGGACTGGGGTGCTCAGGGATCTCCAGGAAGGGCAGGACTTTGTCCCCAGACACAGGCATTCTTGACATTAACATGGAAAACAACACCGTCCAGCTGCCCCTGGGGTCCTCTGCCCTCCCTCCACCCTGGACGGCCAGGGCCTGGTCACCTGACGCTCCACCATCTGCCCCTGCCCAGTGGACCTCAGCCCATCGGCATGGTCTGCATCTCAGGCACCTGGCTTTCCCCATCTGTGTCCACCTGACAGCTCCCCAGGGCAGGGGATGGGAGGGGAGGGCAGGGGAGGGCAGGGGGGAGGACAGGGGAAGGCAGGGCAGGGGATGGGAGGGGAGGGGAGGGCAGGTCAGAGGAGGGCAGGGCAGGGGAG